AGAAAAGTTTAGAAAGTCAAAACTAGGGGTGTTGAAGAATCCAGAAGATTAGGATTTGAGAGAACACAAAGAATAAATGCACCGGCGCCATTTCAAACGATTTTGAGCCATGTCATTCAAGGTCTCTAGCCATCGATTATTATCATCTCGCGGACCCCAACCAGGTAGTCGACAATTTCTGACATGGCTCAGTCCACTAGTTAATGACTTCATGGATTTCTGCCATGTTTTGGTCTGGCCGCCCCTAACTTTCTTCCAACCTACTCCTACACTACAAAACAAAGCTCGACGAGGCAGTCGGTGGTTAGGCATACGCAACACGTGTCCCAACCACCTCAACTGATGAAGTTTCACCACTTCATCTACTGACCTGCTATACTTACCTAGCACCCGTTTTACTCATACTGTAGTGAATGAGAACACAGGTGGGGCTACCGAATTGTATTAAACAAAAATTACAGAGTTACTCAGTGAAATCGGAAAACCATATCGTAAATCGTTCATTTGCAAAAGATCAGTTCATCCTATGGAACTGGACTGTTCCTGTTGCCAAACATCAATCCATTGTCACTATTCATGCGTTTCATACAAATTCCATTGTGTTCTTCTAACTCTTCCTTTCTTGATCTTCCCCCCATATTATGCTACCAGACTTTACGTTGACACTCACGTTATATACTACTTATAAGTAGTTCGCACCACAGCACCACAATACTACTCAACCAAATAAAAACAAAATCATTTGAAATGAAAAATTTTTATCTCTTTGGTTTAGATTACATATGCAATTCTGTCGTCGATTTCTTGGTGTTGTGCAATGTTTATTGTAAGTTACACATAATCAAATAAATTTTCACACATATATACTGTATCTGTACAATATACATTATTGAATATCTTACCACAGACAAAAACTACAACTATGAAGCGTTTGCACGGTTTATACAATACATTCCACATATCTATTTATAGTAAATCGAAATTGTCACTAATAATTCACTTCAGAAGATCGAGGTTTGAATGTTTTGATTATTTTGATGATGTGAAATTACTGAACGATCGATAGTTCATCTCTAAATACATTTCGTTTCATCACTTAAACACGATGTGTTCAACTTTTAATTGTTAGACTGAACAATTTCAATTTTACAATTTTACAGATGATTTCATTGACCATTTATTACTTGTTGAAATATGGCAAATCAGAAGAATACTCTATATTGTATATGGCTTTGGTAACTACTTTCGAATTAATGTTACTGTTGATTATTTCAAAATTCCATGTCAATTATTTCTTCCATTGTCGTCACAATAACACAGTGAACAATGGAACCAGTATCGATGATGATCGGTTCTTATTTGTTTATTAAATACTTCAATAAATTAAAATGTGTTCTGTTATATTAATCAGTGTTATCTTATCAATACTGTAATGAATACACCTTAATTTGTCAGATATTTGTCTGAATATTGCTCCGATCTTCATTAAAAATCATCCTATAGGCTGGGACAAAAATATCATTTATCACCCACCTGCTGACTGTTATATAACCTTGATAGACCCTAAACTAGAACGATCTTTTCCAACACTCTACATAATCGAATGATTTGTAACACAACGATATGCAATCACAAGATGATTTCAATGATTTTTATCAATTAAAAACTAGAACAACATATAAAAGCGACTAATATTACTGTTTTTGATTAGATCGTCATCAATATAATATACATGACTATATTTATATGAAATTGTTAAACCAATCAAGGCAATTTGAGTGATAAACACAATGAAATGAAAAAAAGATTACGTAACTACACACATCATAGGCGAAAGTTCAAGTGGCTAGTAGGAAGACAGGTGTACTGCGATAGTAGTAGGAAAATTATAAAATATGATAACCAAAGTTTTATCAATAGTAGGTCAAACGTGGATGAATAGACTTCAAATAAACATTAAAAAACATCAAAACCATTACATAATAGGCAAACGTGTAAAAATAAAAATAAAATAAGGTAATATATATATAGTCCGGATTACTGGAAGATCAAACTTGCAGTTGATGCGATCAGGAATACCAGCCCTCTTTGAGAGCATATACACATCTACATATTCACTTGAGCTCACGTGATTCGTGTCGCCTAAACCAAGAAGATTTATCAATTAACAGTAAGTTCAGATCTGTGACCTCTAGATAATGCTCTCGGCTGATCGGTGGATATTGGTCAAGACCACCGCTCTGCATACATAAATTATTCGCAACAAAAACGTACCTGCAGTGTTAATATGATTATTTCCATAAATAGATATACATATGTGATTTGCATGAGTCTTCGTTAGTCTATTCTAGATGTTCGGGTTTATGTTACAGGTTTAGAAATTGGCCAACCAACTAGAAGTAAACTGGTCTGTAATAATCTATGAAATGAAAGCTTGTGATTAGGAGGATGAAGTTACACGAACTAAACGCTTACTACAGGTTAAGAATAAGATGTACTAACGTTCTAGTTTACCCTTCACAACAACTACTCCCATCCCCATCACCAACTGATATACTCGAATGCTATTAAGAGTTCACCTTACTCGGTAAATGGAACGAAAGCAATCACTCAATGACACAATAGGCTATTCTAATCCGTTTGTCCCAACCCCGGCTAAATAGATCAAGAAGTCTTGATAAGTCGTAGAGAATGTATTCTACAAGCACCCAGAAAATACGATATGTTTAAGCATACAAATAAAGCTTATTTATACAATGGGAGGAACGCCATTGGGAGAACCATAAAACAGCGTACTAAAATAATCCATCAGCCGATGACAGTCAAGGATTTTCCGAGTGCGAAATGTAAGCTGTAGGTTAACCAAGTGTCTCTTAGCGCGAAATTTCAGAAATACATTACAAAATTAGGGGATCTAACCTCCTCAACATATATATATATATATATACCTCCTTGACTAATCACCTTACACTTGTCATTTAACGAAGACTACCTGGTTGGGGTCCGCGAGATGTTGGTAATCGATGGTCAGACACCCTGAATGAAATGGTTCAAAATCGTTTGCAGTGGCGCAGGTGCATTCATTGTTTGTGTTCTCTCAAATCCTTACCTTCTTAATTCCTCATCACCTCTATCTTTCTCTTTCTAAGTTTATTTCACTAGATTCTACTTCTTGAATAATACCTTCGAACCCTAATCTCTTCGATTACTGTTAATACTTCTAATGTGGTGCGAGCTACTTATAAGTAGTATATGACGTGAGTGTCAACGTAGTGTCTGGCAGTAGAAGATGGGGGAAGATCAAGAAAACAAAAGAGTTAGAAGAACACAATGGAATTTGTATGAAAAACGCATGAATAGTGAGTGACAATGGATTGATGTTTTGCAACAGGAACAGTCCAGTTCGATATGATGATGGACTGATATTTTGCAAATTAACGATTTACAATATGGTTTTCCTATTTTACTGAGTAACTCTGTAATTTTTGTTAAATACAATCCGGTTGCCCCACCTGTGTTCTCGTTCACTACACTAACACTATAGGACTTGAAATGGCGACCTGAACTGATGTACGTACGTATAAATTTCTACGTTGCAATTGACTGACTGACTGACTGACTAGGAGGATATAAATCTATCACCTGATCTCGTTGTGGTTGATCTCACACTCTATGAATTATTTTTTTTTCATCCCATTGATTAGTATTCTATTCACCTTATTTCAGCAAAAAAAAGTCTTGTTGATTTAATCGATTCTCATCTGACCAATAAAAAAAAGGAACAAACAGTAGTAACATCACAACACTGAATATGAATATGAAAGCACTTGACATTCAGCTGTTATTCTGTTAGGATATTCATCCAATATCCTAAGAGAATTATTGGTCAAATCCTATTGGTCGAAATTATGATCCTTTTAATTAGCAAAGTCAAATACGTCAATGTTGTCTCTTATTGGTCATCCGGACTGTCAATGTCATTTCAAATGTTACGTCCTATTGGTCGTCTTAACTGTCAATGCCACAGAACTCGATATTGTTTCCTACTCGACCAAAATGTATAAATACGCATTAACTGTAACGTTTTATGACCACGACCAGGGCTCTTTCCAAGATCCCTAGTCCGGGATCCTGATTCTCTTCTGGATTCGGACCTCGTACTTTCAGGATGCTTGTAGAATACAAATTCAACTTCATATCATGTCTTCTTATTTTTACTCAGTATGGGGGTTGGGATAATCGGATTTGAGTAGCATGTCGTGTCACCGGATCCTCGCTCTCGTTTTCCGACTAGGTAAACTCGTAATAGTTCAAGTATATCAAGTTGACATGTTTACATGCAGGCGTAACATATTAAAAACAACAATCATAAGAGTATTGTCAGATTTCAACTAGTTTACAACAAAAACAACAACAGATAAAAAAAAAACACTCGGCTGTCGCACGATACACGACCAATGCTTCGAAGACACCTATGATCGAAAACCACTAACCTACGAATATCTTCTAGTCTGACTGGCCATGTTTCCCAGTCATAAAGTAGGACGGACCGAACTACTGCACAGTACACAGATAAAACACTTGTCATTCATTTATTCAATAATTCGTTTATTTGATTGAAAAAACAAACAAAGCAAAAAACAAATAATGCTTGTTGAGACAATTAGTTCAATTTTTAAAAAAAAACATTGTTCAATGTACAATGAATTCCTCCTAAAGGAAATCAACCATATCTCTCACTCAGTATGGTGTGTTAATATTTATTCTCCATTATTTTACTCATTTTGAAACTTGAAAAAATAGGAATATTTTTTTTAGCATTGAAACTCTTTTGACTTCTTTTTTTTTCATTTCATTTTTATACAAAATAATTAATTAATTTATTTAATAAATAAATATTCATCATTTATGATTGTAATTGTTTGTTTTTTTAAAAAAAATTATTTTGTTTTAATGTACAAGACAAATTAAAAATAAAACAAATTTTTAAATGATTCAACGAAAATAATTGTTCGTTTTTTTGGTTGGTAAATGGATTGGTTTATTCGTAAATTATTATCGTAAGGAACGAGATTGTTCCAGTTGTAGGCATTGTGTCACTACTACTACTACTACCGCTGCTCACTCATTGACTTGAAACGATGTTCTCTTAAACATTTCGGTGTACAAAAACTATAATCCAAATAACCGAATGGAACTTGATTGCTTATATCACAACCACATTGAAAACAACGTCTAAAACAGAGAGAGAACCGATGAAAAAAAAAGGGAAAAAATATATACATTAAAATTTATTACGGGATTGTTGTGAAGATTGTTAAGTTACACATTTTTTGACACCATGAACCGATCAATGTTAGACCACGTTTAGAAACCTGGAAGCACTGAAAGACGGCCGTTTCGTGGTCCTGGTATGGGACTCATCAGTGACAGCGTGCATCCACGACTCCTGCACCCTTTGCAGGATTCGGACCCAGGACCTTCGGTATTGTGCGCCAACGCCCTAACCGTTAGACCACTGAGCCGGCATCTGACGGTGTTAATGTCTAACTTGATCAAATTCACGGAGTTGCGCAACCTCATACACAGTCTTCGGTAGACACTGCCTACACGCAAACAAGTTGAACTTCACTGGTCGTGGATGCGCACTGCCACTGAGGAGTCCCATACTAGGACGAAACGGCCGTCTTTCAGTGCTTCCAGGTTTCTAATGGTGGTCTTACAATGATTGATTCATCGTTCCAAACAATTAAAATTTATGATTGTTTTTTTCTTCATATATTTATTTGTAAACGAGAATGTCAGGATGACAATGGCTTCTTAGAATTGATCTGTCGTTTCTGGATCTTCTTAGAGTTTTACAATCATTCTTGTTATGTTTGACAATTGTTGATATGCTTGAAACTATTACGAGTTCAGTGACACGATAGGCTACTCTAATCCAAGCGTCGCAAGCCCCCAACTAACGGTATCAAAAAGTCTTGATATGGTGTAGAAAGTGTATTCTACAAGCACCCAGAAAATATGAGGTTTTGTACAGAAGAAGAAGAAGAAGAGGAGCATAAAACTTTACAGACAATGCATATGTACACAGTTAGGTTGACCTTGAATACTAACCAATAGGAAACAACATTCAAAAGTATGTGAACCTGATGATAGTTGAGGACAACCTTAAATATTGACCAATAGAATTATTCCTTTAGAATATTTGATGAACAACCTAACAATTCCATAGCTTTTAGTTCCTGCAAAATGCATATTATTCTTCTCGAGTGATTTTTTTACGCTTAGCATTCCTACAACCTACTACCACTGATACGATTACTACCAACTAATACTACTGATTACATCAAGCTTTACGTTAGTTACATAAATGATTGATTTTGATATATGACACTTTCCGATGATGCCTTAAGTTAGTTTTCAGTGTCAGTAAATGGTTTTAATTTACTGGTCGATTCTATTGTCGTCCTAGATATCAATGTCACGTACTCCAATGTTGGTTCCTATTGGTCATCTTGACTGTCAATGTCACAGAATTCGATGCTGTTTCCTATTAGACCTAAATGTATAAATACGCATTATCTGCAACCGGACCGGACCCGGACTCGGATTCCTAGTCCGAGATCCTGATTCTCTTCTGGACTCGGGCCTCGTACTTTCTGGATGTTTATAGAATACAAGTTCTACTTCATATCATGTCTTCTTCTTTTATTGTATGGGGGGTGGGGCTGGGACACTCGAATTAGAGTTGCAAGTCGTGTATCACACGGTGAAATTGGACCCAAGATCATTTTGTTTCGTGTACAAACAAACGCTGAATCTCTAAACCACCGAGCCGGAATTCAACGGTGTTAATGTTAATGTTAACACACGATGTTGCACGACCGTTCACGCATTCATTAACTATGGTGGATAACAACTGTCTCATTTCACTGCTCATCATGGTCTAGCTAAAATCACTTAGTGATTTCAAATCTGCGAAAAATAAAAACCATCTGACCAAAATTTTGAAATAAGAGTAGAACAATTAAAATTGATTTTCATTGATTTTCATCAAAACAACTGTAAGCTGAGTCGAAAGATCATTGAAAAAAACTAAAATACTGAACAGCTATTATACACTAAAACATCAAACTCGACGACAATGTGTGCAACGACAATATTGCATAATGGAGCATATACTTACGCCTGTTACCCACAATGGAGCATAGGGCGCCCACCAGTTGTCTCCAACCAATTCTGTCTGTCCTGGGCTTCCCTTTCCAGTTCTGTCCAATGTTTGTTCATTCCTCCCATATCTTTCTCTATTTCTCGGCGTGATGAGTTCCATGGCCTTCATCTTTTCTTTTCGCTTTGAGGGTTCCATGTGAGGGCTTGTCTTGTGATGCAGTTAGGTGCTTTCAGCAATGTGTGTCCTATCCACTTAGACCACTTCTTCCTGATTTCCTCCTCCACTGGAATCTGGTTTGTTCTCTCCCATAGTCGGTTGTTGCTGATAGTGTCTGACCAACGAATACGAAGTATTTTGCGTAGACAACTGTTAATGAATACTTGTGAATACTTGTACCTTCTGGATGATGGCTTTCGTAGTTCTCCGAATTTCCGCTCCATACAGTAGAAGTGTCTTCACATTTGTATTGAAAATGCTGATTTTGATTTTGGTTGAAAGTTGTTTTGAGTTCCAGATATTTTTCAACTGTAGAAATGCAGCCCTTGCTTTGGCGATCCGTGCCCTCACACCTGCATCGGATCGTATTTTTTATTTTATTTAAATCTTCACACTACTGATTAAATAATTAGTAAGACAATTACACATACAATCCTTATGTTTATTTGCCGCTAACGCGTTAAAAATTTTCCTAAAAAAATTAAGATATGTCTTCTGCGGGACAAATTTTTTTTTGTAAACCATGGGCAAACAATACAACCTAAATGACTAGATCAATTACAGGAATAGGCAACGTACAGCTAAGTGGAAAATTCAATGTGATTTATTGACCACACCTCCTCTATGTGCATTAACAAATTCAGCTGCTCCTGTGGAGATAGCTATATCGGGCGTACTTCCAGGCAACTTAGCCAACGAATGAGTGAACATCTCCCGGCATGGTTTAAGGAAGGGTCAGTCAAAAACAATACGCAGTTCTATCTCTTAGCACACCTGGTGGTAGATAGTGGTCACATTGTAGATAAATCTAGATCTTTTCGAGTGATCTATCATATACCTCAATCATTTCCCAATAATAAATAAGCCAACTTGAACATAAATATTGATACATGCATGTATATTTTCACTATTACCTGAATATTATGAATGGTTCACCAGCTGAAACCAAACGACCTGCTGAATTAGCGACAACACGCTAATTCATTTTTTTAAGATGAAAAAAGAGAAGTAAAATAGAAAAACATCAAACTAAGGATTTTAATGAATCCAAGTTAAGTAAAAGATGCATACCATTGAAAAAAGAAATTGATGCCTATTTGAAACGATTGTTAGACAAGCAAGATGATAGAATCAAAAAAAAGTTGTAGTTATGCGATTGTTGGTTCTGTGTTTCCAGTTCGTAAGTAGAAAAAATTCCGACATATAGATGCGTACTGCAGAGGAGTCCCATACCAGGACGAAACGGCCGTCCAGTGCTTCCAGGTTTCTATAGGTGGTTTAACATTGATGAATTCATGGTTTGAAAAATATAGAAAAGAAACTGTTCAATGATACAGGAGGATAACAAGTGTCAATCAATCAACGGAAACGTAGAACTTCGTACGTACGCACGTACATCAGTTCAAGTTACCATACCACATTAGCACAGAGATGCAATTGTTAATTCAAATACCATAGTAGTAGAGGCAGTAGAAGTATTAGCAGAAATAGGAGAGAGATTAAGGTTCGAAGATATTATTCATGAAGTAGAATCTAGTGAAATAAACTTAGAAAGAAAAAAATAAAGGTGATTAAGATCTCCAAGGTTAGGGTTTGAGAGAACACAAAAAAATGAATGCACCTGTGCCATTGCAAACCGTTTCGGGCAATGTCATTCAGGGTCTCTAACTATCGATTATCATTATCTCGCAGGCCCTAACCAGGTAGTCGACACCTACCGTCATAACCCAGTGTATGTTATATTTATACTCAGATGTTTTAAGAGACAAACTACATACTGCATCCAGAAAAAAGGTAACAACATGAGTAACATGAAAGTATATGTCAGTCAGTCAGTCAGTCAGATGCAACGTAGAACTTTGTACATAAGTACATCAGTTCATGTTGCCATACCACATCAGCACAGAGAAGTAATCGTCAATTCAAATCCAATAGTAGAAGAGGTAGTAAGGGAATTAGAAATAATCGGAGAGGTTAGGATTAGAAGATACTACTCAAGAAGTATGATTCAGTGAGAAAAGTTTAGAGAGTCGAAACTAGAGGTGTTGAAGAATCCAGAAGATTAGCATTTGAGAGAACACAGAGAATAAATGCACTGGCGCCATTGCGAACGATTTTGAGCCATGTCATTCAAGGTCTCTAACCATCGATTATTATCATCTCGCGGACCCCAACCAGGTAGTCGACAATTACCGACATGGCTCAGTCCACTAGTCAATGACTTCATGGATTTGTGCCATGTTTTGGTCTGGCCGCCCCTAGCTTTCTTCCAACCTATTCCTACACTACAAAACAAAGCTCTTCGAGGCAGTCTGTGGTTGGGCATACGCAACACATGTCCCAACCACCTCAACTGGTGAAGTTTCAATACTTCATCGATTGATCTGCCATTCTTACCTAGCACCCGATTCCTAATAACAGCGTTGCTCACTCGGGTGTCCCACGATATACGAGCAATGCTTCGAAGACACCTATGATCGAAAACCATTAACCTACGAATATCTTCTACTCTCACTGGCCATGTTTCACAGCCATAAAGTAAGACGGAGCGAACTACTGCGCAGTACACTCGTCCTTTAGTCAGCAAACGGATATCTCGCCTACGCCATAAGTGACGCAGGTTCGCAAAAGCCAATCGAGCCTTCTGTATCCGAGCTGAGATTTCGTCAGTCACCAGGCCATCGGCACTGATGAGACTCCCAAGATAAGTGAAGCGGTCTACACGTTCAACCACTTCACTCCCTATCACTAGTTCAGGTGCCAATGCAACCCAGTCTTGAAGCAACATTTTGCATTTCGAGGGGGAAAACCGCATCCCGAACATGCTTGCATTGTTGCTTAGGGTAGTCAGAAGACTCTGCATTTTGTCAGCGTCTTCACCAAGTAGGACTATGTCATCGGCATATTCTAAGTCAATAAGCGAGCCACCTGGAAGAAGGTCTACTCCTGAAAATTCAGACGAGGATAATGTTATGTCTAGGAGCATGTCTATGATAAAATTAAACAAGAATGGAGAAAGTGGACATCCCTGACGGACACCACTTGATGTAGAGAATTCCGGTGACAGTTCGCCATAAGCCCTCACCCGACCAGTGGTGTTCGAGTAAAGAGCTTGTATAAGGTTAATGTACTTCTGTGGTACACCTTTCAATGACAGACACTGCCACAGAACCTCACGATCAACAGAGTCGAATGCCGCTTTTAGGTCCAGCAACACAACTATTGTAGGACGCCTAAATGTATGTCTATGTTCCAGGACCTGTCGTAGTGTGAAGATGTGGTCTATACAGCCACGTCCAGGTCGAAAACCAGCCTGGTTTTCTCGAGTCTGCTCTTCACGAGCTTTCGTTAAGCGTCGAAGTATTATTGAGGCCAATATTTTAGATACTATATTAGTTAGACTTATTCCTCTGTGATTGTCACAAGAAGACTTTTGTCCTTTCTTATAGATTGGGACAATCAAGGATTGCGACCAGTCGGATGGGATTACGTCCAGTTCCCAGACTCTACCTAAGATCTCAGTCAATCTAGCTGCTAAAACTGGACCACCATCCCTGAATATCTCAGGGGTCAGTCTATCAGGACCTGCAGCTCGTCCTCGTTTCAGATTTCCTAACGCTTTCTCAACGTCATTAAGACTAGGGGGACTTACGTCGATTTGCCATTCAGGATGACTGGAGATCGTGGGTAACCGAAGAGTGGCTCGTGGCCAGTTGAACTGATCCCTAAAGTGTTCTGCCCATCGATCCAGTCTCCTGGATTGAGAATGGATAATAAGACCATCCTTTTCCGAGATAGTCTCACTCACATTCGGGTTCTTAATACCAGTTTCTTTAATAAGGCGGAAAAGTTGTCTACTGTTGCCGATCGCCGCTGCCTTTTCCATCGCTTTTGCTTTCGCCACCCACCACTGCTCGCGATCGTTACGTAGGCTTTTCATAAGTCTGCGCCTAAGTTGACTTCGTTCTTCATCATGCTCAGAGCCAGGTGGGATGAGTTTTCGGGCATCCATCAGATCGGTGGATGCTACTGAGATCCACGGTTTCATTCTAGCCTTATGGTCAACCTCACTAGCAGATATCACTGCTGTTTCCACAGCCTTTTTGATATCATACCAACCTGCTTCTGGATGGGAATCGCTTGCATGGTCGCTTAACTCTCTTTCTAGTTGCTCCTGAAATATATTCTTGGTTTGATTATCATTAAGTAAAACCCTAAGAGGCTTTCTTACGGTGTCTTTCCTACGTCCAGTAAGCCTTAAACAGATACGAGCTCGCACTAGAGCATGATCTGAATCCAAACATGTGCTCCAGAACGAGCGACAGTCTTCTATCGAACCCCTCCATCGGTGGCTGATGGCGATGTGATCTAGTTGAGTCCAACGTTGAGACGACTTTGGAGGTCGCCAGGTCAGCAGATGCTTTTCCTTATGCCTAAAGTTGGTGTTCGCTAAGAATAGGCGGTTATCTGAGCACAGTTGCAACAGACGGTCACCATTGTCTGTTCTCTCAGTCGCTACACCATAACATCCACCAAGATGTCTTTCCTTTTCACCTAGTCTACCTACTTGAGCATTAAAGTCACCAGCCATTATTACTATATCAGAGCGCCTAGCTTTTTGGAGGAGGTCCGAAAGCTTTCTGTAAAACTCATCTTTAACCTCGTCTGCACTGCAGTCAGTGGGGGCATAGGCAGATATGACGAAGAGGCAACGGCGAGTGTCCCTATCCTTACGAGTCCTTACTGTCCCGTTTAGTCGGACAGCGCACAAACGACTATCTACTGGGATCCAGTCTAGGAGAGATAATTCTGCCCTAGGACTCAACGCTATGCCTACACCAGCAAGACCCCTGGAAGCAGCATCAGGGCTACCGGATACCCGAAGAGTAAATCGAGCTGCTTCTTCGTTTTGACAAGGTGGAATCAGGTTAATGACTTTACTAGGATCCTGTATGCGCGTTTCCGAGACGCAGCATACATCGATGGCACGAGTTTCTAAAGTCCTAGCTAATGATGCCTGTTGCCCTATTTGACACAATGTCCGTACATTAAAAGCTCCAATATGTAGTCTAGAACGGGGTTTCAAGAGACCAGGAACGACGTTTCGTGATCTCGCTTCGTCTGCATTAGCGGTGCAGTGAGAAAAGGGAGTGTGAGTAGAGTTAGTTGTAGAGATAAAAGAGACATTAGGGGGTGTAGGAAGGATTTGATTTTGACCAATTTGGTCTCGCGTGCTGTTATGGGTATGAGGGCGGTTGTCACTTCCCGGCTGCCCACACCGTGGAAGGTTGTTTCTTGAGGGACCTGAAAAGGAAGATGGATTAGTGTTGGTGCGTGACCGCAGAGCCCAAGGGACAACTGCTTGAGGCCGGTCACGCACGGCCTTTTTATGAAAGGTATTTTGAGAATTAGCTCCGTTCTTAAAGGCCCTTAGTGGGCACCCTTACCCAAGGAGACGGAAATCCGTGAGTTAGGGGGAGTGTGACATTTTTAGGGCCGACCTTTTCTAACCCTTCCTTCCTTGTGAGAAGGCAGCATCGCTGCAGATGCTGGTTGTCCGAGGGAAACACCTTACTGCTGTCACACCCCTCTGCAGTCAGCAGTACGACTTCGCCCTCAGACCTTGGGTAGCTGCTTTTAGTCTCATCGTTCTCCAATCGACCAGCCTGGCATGGTAGGACCTGCAGGAACATATGTTCCAGCCAGTATAGCTCGGTTGGGTCATCACGATAGGCAAGCCCGACCACCACGTCAAGGTAGCAGCTTCGGTCGGGCGAAAGTATATGATTTTACAGTGTATTGCGCAATGATGAAATTCCATAACCCGTGTATATGAAATCAAGAGGCATCATTGATAAGTACCAATGCTTGTGAATTTTTGTATTTCTACAACTGAAAAACATCTGGAACTCAAAACAACTTTCAACCAAAACCAAATTCAGGATTTTCAATACAAATGTCAAGACAGTTCTACTGTATGGAGCGGAAACTTGGAGAACTACCAAAGCCATCATCCGGATGATACAAGTATTTATTAACAGTTGTCTACGCAAAATACTTCGTATTCGTCGGCCAGACAATATCAGAAACAACGAACTGTGGGAGAAAACAAACCAGATTTCAGCGCAGGAGGAAATCAGAAAGAAGCGGTTGAAGTAGATGGGACACAGATTGCAGAAAGCACCGAACTGCGTCACAAGACAAGCCCTCACTTGGAGCCCTCAAGGTCGAAGAACAAATGGAAGGCTAAGAAACACATTACTCCGAGAAATAGAGAAAGATATAAGAAGAATGAACAAAAATTGGACAGAACTGGAAACGTAAGCCCAGGACAGAGTTGGTTGGAGAATACTGATCCATTGGGCGTAACAGATGTAAGTAAGATTGTAAATTTCGGCTTGACATTGCACGAATTTCATTACCATGCACGAAATACCAGTCAGTTTAAAATTCCAAAAATATTTGTGAGAACATTTTTCAACAACCAACCAGAAAATTTTTTTTCAAAATTCTGAAAGTTCATGACATTTTATTTATAAACCTTTATAGTTACGACGTAAAAAATATCACCCAATGAAAAAATAATGTATGTATGTATTTATTTACTTACCTTTTCACGATCGGATAAAGTTAAAAATCGAGTTTGTTCATCGGCATCTCTTTTTTGTCGCTCAATTGTTGCACGTTCAGCAGCACGTTTTTCTTTTTGACGTTGTTTTTGTCGTTTGGCACGTTCACGATCACGTTCAACTTTGGCAGCTTCTTCGGATGGATCTAATGCATTAGGTATCTATACATATGTGTATAGATATGCGTGAATATGGAAAATGAAATGTAGGTTAAAACATAATGATGAAAGTTAGTAAAACATTAACACTAATTAAGCAATAATCATATACAATGAATAATAAGGGGGCGTTTGTTGCGGATGTTAGATCCCCCACACAACTCGCTTGATAAATGCCTTATTATTTGGATTTCACGTTTGTGAGGATGGGCTGATCAGTTGAACTTGAGATTTCAATTCCCACCAGGAAAATCCATGGCTGTGTGATTGGCTGCTGTGTATTATTTTAGTGTGCTATTTTGTGTAACTGTCCCAAGGACGTTTCTATGATGTATAAATAAACAAGAGTTGTATGCTTGATTGTATTGTGTGATTGCTGGGTGTTTTGTAGAATATACTTTCTATGCTTACAAAGCCTTTTTACTTCAGCTTGGGCATTCAATGTAGCCTACCTGGACGCTGGTAATTGTCTCGTTCGCGTTTATCGACTAAGGTGAACTCGTAATAGCCTCAAGCATACTTAGTGACGAGCGTAACAGCGTCAGAACAATAACAATTGAAACTATATTGTAACTCAGGTGGAACTTTGACAGGTACTAATCAGAAGAGCTAAGCATTTTGACTTTTTGTTGTTGTTTCTGTTATGCTTGTTACTTGATATGCTCGAAACTATTATAGAGTTTCCCTTAGTCGATAAACGAGAACAAGACAATGAACTAGTGACACAGTAGGCTATTCTAATCCGTTGTCCCCAGCCCGGCTAACTCTATATAAAGAAGTCTTGATATGGCGTACAAAGTGTATTCTACAAACACTCAGCAAATACAATGATCTCAAGCACACAAATAGCATTTATTTATACATGAAAGAAACGTCCTTGGGACAGTCACACAAGTAGAACACTAAAACAACACATCAACCAATCACAACCAAGGATTCTCGTGGTGCGAAATGTGATCTCAAGGTCAACTGATCAGTCCATGAATAAAATCCGAAATTAGGTCATTTATCAAGCGAGTTCTGGGGGATCTAACGTTCCCAACAGTTTCCAATTGTTATTTGGTTTATTCAACCGCCGAATGAGTAATATCTTACATACATACAACAAATACAGAACTTTTTAAACTTATTATTAGAGCTTGTGAAAGAAGCCAGTGAAATCATACAGATAAGATGATCAGTGTCAAAGTAACCGTGTATGAGAACTAATCTGCGCATCACCCTACTACTCTGTATACAGAATAGTGCCTGAACACTAAAACTAAATTAAACTATGGGAAATACCTGTCCATGATATGGACTGTATCAAACGGTATTCAATGTGATGCGATACACAGTCAAAGGTGTTTATGCACAAAAAATACTCTGTAACTCTTAGTTCTAGTCTAAACCCTAATAGCTAAAACATTGATCTTATCTAATTTACTATAATTAACAATTCAACACATAAAAGTTCACTAAACATGTTAAAAGTATTTATCCATTATAATTTTTATTATAATGGAGTGAAGTAGTGGTTTGTTGATTGCAGTTCTCGCATTCAAACTATTGGGTCGAAGGTTCAAATCCTTCTAATTGAATTTATTCCCAACCGTAGCTGTTACCTTGATGTGGTGGTCGGGCTTGCCTATCGTCATGACCCAACCGAGTTATATTGGCTGGATCATATATTCCCGTAGGTTCTCCCATGCCAGACAGGTCGATTGGAGAATGATGAGATTCAAAACAGCTACTCAAGGTCTGAGGGCGAAGTCGTATTGCTGATTGCAGAGGGGTGTGACTGTAATAAGGTGTTTCCCTTGGACAAACAGCATCCGTAGAGATGCTGCTTTCTCACAAAAAAGGAAGGGATTTGAAAAGGTCGACCCTAAAAATATCACACCGCAACTTACATCTGGGATTTCCATCTCTAGCGGTAAGGCCTTTTAGACAAGGGCGGAGATAACACTTTAAAAACTCATAAAAAGGTCGTGCGTAAGCGGCCTCACGCAGTTGTCCCTTGGGCTCTGCTATCACGCTCTCAGATCACTAAGACCAAGCCTAGCCCAACCACTTTTTCAGATTTCTCAAGAAACACTCTTCCATGGTGTGGGCATCCCGGAAATGAGATCCGCCCTCATACCCGTAAGTGCACACGAGACCAAATTGGTCATTGTCCATTTTATCACTTTTTATTGTCAGTTGTTTTCTGACTGGATCACTTAAGGTCATCATCATCATCAGTAGAGTTTAGTTTTATTAATGTATATAAATACAACATGAAGGTATTCATAATGTCATTGACTGATAAACGAAACAATATATATATATGTCAAATTGTCAGGTGTATATAGGTACCCGAAAATCAACTTACGTATTATTGATTTTCTCTTAAGTTTTCCTTAAGAAAATGTGATATTTGGTATATCTGAATGGAAGCTTAGAGTTTCTTATAGACAAAACAGAAATCGTTTTCAATGATTTGTCAGTCATACGCAATGACTCACCATGTAACGATTCATACACTAGGCTTGTTGCCAAAGACCAAGTCATACAATCCGCTAGCTTAAACCTAACAATGTAAAGCAAAGTTTGAACATATGACGTACACTCTTAGTTGCATATAATTCAAGTACTCCTACAACTACTTCTGTTGGGACATTCATCCAATATCATAAGAGAATTATTGGTCGAATCCTATTGGTCGATTTCTATTGGTCAAAATTATGGTCGTTTTAACTGCCAAAGTCAAATACTTCATTCAATGTTGTCTCTTATTGGTCATCCGGACTGTCAATGTCATTTCAAATGTTACTTCCTATTGGTCGTCCTGACTGTCAATGCCACAGAATTCGATGCTGTTTCCTATTCGACCAAAATGTATAAATACGCATTATCTGTAACATTTTATGACCACGACCAGGGCTCGGTCCCGGATCTCTAGTCCGGGGTCCTGATTCTCTTGTGGATTCGGACCTCGTACTTTATGGATGCTTGTAGAATACAAGTTCTACTTCATATCAAGTCTTCTTATTTTCACTTATTATGTGGGGGGGGGGGGCTGGGATGATTGGATTTGAGTAGCATGTCATGTCACCAGATCCTCGATCCTCGCTCTCGTTTTCCGACTAAGTAAACTCGTAATAGTTCAAGTATATCCAGTTGACGTGTTTACGTTCAGTCATAACAACTTCTGAGTCAGTATAATTAACAACCACAAAATAAACTCTGAATAATACTTTTTTTTAATTGCGTACTCGAAAAACTATCTGAAACATTTACAATTCATCTATGAAAATACACAAAAAACAAACAACTCACTTGTGCTTTCTCATAATCATAAAGATTTGGATAATGAAATCGAAAACGTCGAAACACTTTCGTGATTGATTTCTTATGCAATCGTGTAGCTAATTGAAAAGGAGTCATACCATCGTTATCACTAGAAAAAAATGACAAAAATACAATTCATTTTCCCGACTGTAGCTGCTACCTTGATGTGGTGATCGGGCTTGACTATCGTCATGACCCAACCGAGCTATATTGGCTGGAACATATGTTCCTGAAGGTTCTACCATGCCAGGCAGGTTGATTAGAGAACCATGAGACTAAAAGCAGATGCTTAAGGTCTGAGGGAGAAGTCGTATTGCTGACTGACTGTAGATGGAGGGGTGTGACATCAGTAAGGTGTTTCCCTCGAATAACTAGGATCTGCAGCGATACTGCCTTCTCGAAATGAAAGGAAACGGCTAGAAAAGGTCGACCCTAAAAATGTCACACCTCACCCTACCTCACGGATTTCCGTCTCCGTCGGTAAGGGTGTCCACTAAGGGCTTTCAAGAGCGGAGCTATTACTCAAAAAACCCTTCAAAAAAGGCCATTTGTGACCGGCCTCAAGAAGTTGTCCCTTGGGCTCCATGATCACGCTCCCAGGTCTCTATGACCAACACTAATCTACCTTCCTTTTCAGGTCCCTCAAGAAACAACCTTCCACGGTGTGGGCAGCCGGGAAGTGACAACCGCCCTCATACCCGTAACAGCACACGAGACCAAATTGGTCAAAATCAAATCCTTCTTACACCCCCTAATATCTCTCTTATCTCTACGACTAACTCTAGTTTTAGCGCATGGGCTGATAAGTTGACCTTAAGATAGCGTTTCCCACCCGGAAAATCCTTGAATGTTGTTGTTGGTTGATGTATTATTTGAGTACGCTATTTTTGTGGCTCTCCAGAGGATGTTTCTATCATGTATAAATAAACTCGATTTGTATGCTTGTCAACCTCAAATTTTTCTGGGTGCTTGTACAACACACTTTCTATACCATATCAAGACTTCTTGATTTAATTAGTTTGAGGCCTTCGGACTCTCGGATTAGAGTGGCCTGTCGTGTCAGTACTATATCATTTGTTTTCGCTCACGTTTACCGACTAAAGTGAACTCGTAATAGCATACAAGCATATCAAATGACGATTATATCACTTACACACTGCTTGCTCCACAAATATTTCGAACACACAAGGTATCTATCTCTCTTGGTTAAACACAAACTAACCAAAGGCTAAAGTTTTAAATATGTACAGTGAGCATACTCTCCATAATTATTTTCTTTCAACAAGCAGAACTTCATTAAGACTTTTCAGGTAGAAATTATGTAATGATCGACTTTTTTTCAAGTGATAAGGATTAGTATCACCTCTATATTATTGTAAATAGTTGACCGAGTAATTATGAAATAAATGAACTTGTGAATTAAATACACTGAAATAGTCAATGTTACTTAACACAGACTAATACAACTCATTTAACTGATAAAAGATGCATTTGTAATTTGTTTTGAGTTGAAACTGGAATGTAAGTGATACTTGACCAACTATAACCTGAAACAAACTATTTGAAACTGGATTCAAACCAGGAATTTGAGACTCTAGGATGTGTATGTAACCACCCATCATCAACACTGGAGCATCAAAATTACACTGTCCCAATCTAGGTACATGCAGAGAAATTTCGCAAAAACGAACTAGTTGATTAAAATTATCACATAGTACGTAATATATTAACTCCACCTGTAGTCCCTTTAAGGATACTGCCGGTCCCAAGCCCGGATAAAGGAGGAAGGAGTTGGGCATGAGGTTGGCGCCCACAGGCATCTTTCGAGGTGAAGACCGGTTTCAGGCAAGGTTGCTTACTCTCACCCTTTCTCTTCCTCCTGCTCATCGACTGGATTATGAAAACGTCGACATCTGGAGGGAAGCATGGTATCAACTGGACAGTTTGGACGCAGCTGGACGATCTGGACTTCGCAGATGACCTGGCTCTTCTATCGCACACGCAACAACAGATGCAACAGAAGACGACCAGTGTAGCAGCAGCAACTGCAGCAGTATGTCTCAACATACGTAAGGGGAAAAGTAAGATTCTACAATACAACATAACATGCGCCAACCAAATCACTCATTCTTGATGGAGATGCCTTGGAGGACGTTAACACCTTTACATATCTTGGCAGCATCATCGACAATCAAGGTGGATCCGATGCAGATGTGAGGGCGCGGATTGGCAAGGCAAGGGCTACATTTCTACAGTTGAAAAATACCTGGAACTCCAAACAACTTTCAACCAAAACCAAAATCAGCATTTTCAATACAAATGTCAAGACAGTTCTACTGTATGGAGTGGAAACATGGAGAACTACCAAAGCCAACATCATCGTCCAGAACATGCAACTGTTTATTAACAGTTGTCTACGCAAAATAATTCGGATTCGTTGGCCAGACACGATCAGCAACAACCGACTGTGGGAGAAAACAAACCAGATTCCAGTGGAGGAGGAAATCAAGAAGAAGCGGTGGAAGTGGATAGGACACACATTGCGGAAAGCACCAAACTGCATCACAAGACAAGCCCTCACATGGAACCCTCAAGGCAAAAGCAAAAGAGGAAGGCCAAGGAACACATTACGGACAGAATTGTAAAGGAAAGCCCAGGACAGAGTTGGTTGGAGAACTCTGGTCAGCGGCCTATGCTCCATTGGGCGTAACAGGGGTAAGTAAGTAAGTAAGTAAGTAATATATTGTATGTATAATTCATGATAGTAGTTTGCACTAACCTAACCGCTGGATCACATCCACATTCAAGTAAGAAAAGAATTAATTCAGGATCACTTTGAAATTCAACAGCTACATGTAAAAGTCTTCGTCCATCAGTCAATGGATGATTAATTAGTTTTGAACAAACATGAGATGGTGGTACAGTTGATGATGATGATGATGATGATCCAGGTGAAGTAGACTCTATGCAAAAAAAATAACAATTGGTTTCAGCTATAATGGTGGTCTAACACTGATCGATTCATGGTTTCAAAAATGTGTAACTTAATAAACTTCACAACTCCGTAATGCAAATTACCTGTGCTCACTAGTCACTAGCTTCGTGAGGAATCTTCTCCGAGTTCTAGTGGGAAGACGTGACCAATGAAGTTCAACCTGTTCGGATGTAGACAGTAATTACCGAAGAGTGTGTATGAGGCTTTGCAACTCTGTGAATTGATCAAGTTAGACATTAACAGCGTTAGATACCGGCTCAATAGTCTAACGGTTAGGGCCTTCGCGCAAATACCGAAGGTCCTGGGTTCGGATCCTGCAAAGGGTGCAGGAGTCGTGGATGCGCACTGCTGACGAGTCCCATACCAGGACCAAACGGCCGTCCAGTGCTTCTTCCAGGTTTCTAATGATGGTCGAACACTGATCGATTCATGGTTTCAAAAAATGTGTAACTTAACAATCTTCACAACCCCGTAATATAAATATTTCAACAATTTATAAAACGTACTGTATGAATGAGTTATTGCTTGCTTATTTTCTCGATTTTATAACCTTGAAACCATGAATGAATCACTGTTAGACCAACATTAGAAACCTGGAAGTACTGAACGGTTGTTTCGTCCCACTATGGGACTCATCAGCAGTGCGCGCATCCACGAACCCTGCTACTCGTGGGATTCGAACCCCGAACCTTCGGTTTTGCGCTTGAACGCTTAACCTATGAACCGCAGGGCCAACGATGTTAATGTCTAACTCTGATCTATCTAAAGATTTTGCGCGACCTCACCCATTTATCCTCGGTAGTGACTGCCTACACCCGTCATGTCTTCTCAATAGAACTCTGAGAACCTTACAAAGCTAGTCACCTAGTCTCCCACTTCTTTCTGTCCTTCTGTTCTACCATCTTCGTGTCTAATGTCGGTTTCGCTTTCACGGTATTAATTGCCCGCCACCAGCCTATTCTGAAACTTGTTGTAGACCACCACTGTTGATATAGCCAGATCCTTAATATGTACTGATAGCTGCGGCTGTCTACCAGACATTAGCTGGAAAGGCGACTAATTAGACGTTCGCTTTACGAAGGACGATGGGCTAACAAAGTTATTAGTAACTCTCACTTTTCTCTCCGTTAGATCTCTCTTTTAGAAGCAAACTATTCCTATAAGGTTTGGTAAATCCTTTTCGTTGAACCGTTTGACTGTAGGTGATACGATATCTTAAATACTGACTTTATGATTGACTACTCTCGAACAGAATAAAATTCGTCACTTTTGAAGCAGGGATACTGGCCGGTAAAAACATTATGTTATTAAGTTTCTTAGAAATGACATAGAACTTTGACTACTGCTATTACTGGAATGAGTCAGGTTGGTAGACGTAGACTACCTAGTTGAGGCCCACGAGATGACAGTAATCGATGGTTAGAGACCCTGAATGACATTGCTCAAAACCGTTTGCCATGGTGCAGGTGCATTCATTTGTTGTGCTATCTGAAATCCTAATCTTCTGGATTCGTTAGCACCTCTACCCTTTGTCTTTCTAACCTTATCTCACTGAATTATACTTCTTGAATAATATCTTCAAACCCTAGTCTTTTTCATTACCATTAATACCTCTACTATCTTTATCACTATGGGATTCGATTTGACATTTGCGTCTTTGTGCTAATGTATGTGGTATGGCAACATGAACTTATGTACATACGTACAAAGTTCTACGTTGCAACTGACTGACTGACTGACTGACTGAAATCTGATTGAAGACTGTTTATGTGGAAGTTAGTTTGCATTGAAGATTGACAGCAGTTAGAATACTATCGAAAAGCAAGTAGTAGCATTGACTATCTGGTTCATGGTGGAGTAAGGGAGGGAATCCTCGGCGGTGAGTATTCATGACTTTACCAGGCACCAACACTGAAGAACCTTCAAGCCAAATAGATCAATCGGTAATGATATCTTGTGGTCAGACAATAATAATCAGATCTCGATGCCAACTATATCTCCTCTCCTACTTATAAAGACTATTGCAAAGATGTTTGTTTACTGAAAAGCTTCTTCATCCCTACCAAACAAAGGCTAGATAAAAAAAAATAGGATACATACAGTCTTGTGACTTCCAATGCATCCAAATCAAAGCCAAGTTCACAATACTAAAGTAAGGGTAAATAGTAAAACATTTACACACTTGAAAAACTCGAAAATATTACAATATATAGTGAAATACTCTTAAAATTGTACACTAACCAACAGTAGTAGTAGTAGTAGTATTCGCAGAAACCGTCGAATTATGATGACCTGTTTTCTCCAATTCATTGAAATTATCACTTTGATTTACACTGCATATACGCACGACTGGTAATAGAGAGCGTAATGTAATCAAATCTCCAGAAGCAATCGCCACACATAAACGTCTATGCCAACTTTGATAAGTGAGATATAAATCTGTGTGTATAGATTGTTGTGAAGTGAACACATTGGTCAAGTGATTACGTCAACAAAATGAAATAACAAACAAAAAAGAAGAAAAAGAAGAATTGAGGTTCTACAGCACATGGCGAACAGTGCCTATGTAGTGCCTCCACATAAACTTGAGTTCGTTCATATTTAATTTGATAAAGCCTTTTGATTAATTTATGTAACCAAGCTATTTGCATAGCAACAACTCATATGTACCATTGGTATTTTTTATTATCTGCTTTGTATGAGCTTGTACGACTGAGCATTGCTTACGCTTACGCACTTACTCATCCTTTTCGCTTTAATGTTAATCTCGTAATATTCCCATGAACTCACATGATTTGTATCGCTTGTCATTTGACCTTGTCAATCATTCGTCACTCTTATTCATGTGCGTGCATACCTATTTCGCTTCTCATATGTCTGTCTTATTTATGCCCGACTATATATTCTTAGTCATACTCTATCTCTTTGAGTTGGCTCTTAGCCTTCTCCTATTCGCTTCTCCGATTCGCTTTGTGGTGTGCCTCGAATAAACGTATTCATCAATACGAGTTCATCTTCTGATTTATAAACCGAGCTATAAGAACACGCAGTTATCGGCACACTACACCTACTTGATCCTATCGCGAACACAACATTGTTCTTTTGTAAATTAGCCGATAACTTTGTCTATAGCTTTGTCTATATTAAATTTGGATAATTGTTGTTAATGTGTGTTGTTAGATAATTTGTGCGGTTGTGAAATTATTTTCTTGCCTACCTCAGCGGAACGGAACACCAGTTTATGGGGCTTGCCTGTAAGGAACTACTACTGTGATCCCCGACCGTAGCTGCTACCTTGATGTGGTGGTCGGGCTTGCCTATCGTCATGACCCAACCAAGCTATACTGGCTGGAATATATGTTCCTGAAGGTTCTACCATGCCAGGCTGGTCAATCGGAGAACGATGAGACTAAAAGCAGCTACTCAAGGTCTGAGAGAGAAGTCGTACTGCAGAGGTGTGAGACAGCAGTAAGGTGTTTCCCTCGGACAACCAGCATCTGCAGCGATGCTGCCTTCTCACAAGGAAGGAAGGGTTAGAAAAGGTCGGCACTAAAAATGTCACACCTCACCCAACTCACGGATTTCCGTCTCCCTGGGTTAGGGTGCCCACTAAGGGCCTTTAAGAGCGGAGCTAATACTCAAAAAACCTTTCATAAAAAGGCCTCAAGCAGTTGTCCCTTGGACTCTGCGGTCACGCACCAACATTAATCTATCTTCCTTTTCAGGTTCCTCAAGAAACAACTTTCCACGGTGTGTGCAGCCGGGAAGTGACAACCGCCCTCATACCCGTAACAGCACACGAGACCAAATTGGTCAAAATCAAATCCTTCCTACACCCCCTAACATCTCTAATCTGACTGACTACTGTGATCCTTATACATTTGAATTGCGAACTTGATCAAATTAACAAACGTACCATGAATTAATATGGTGATCTAACATAAACTGCTGTGTGACCTTCACATGTTTTTTTTGTAATGTTTCGATATTGTAAATGGACGAAACAGTCATATTTGAAATAGTAAGTCTTGGGTTTCGACGCAAAACTTATCCATCCATATTGGTTGAATAACAGTTTGACATTATAGCTAATGTCCGTTTGTGATGAAAAACCATACAGTTCTAAATTGTATTGCTGATTCTTCAAACTAATATATCCTCGAGTTCACTGTGGCATCGCTTAACAGGTCGTCTATAAATGATAATTTCATTACTATATATATATTTATATACCATTAGAAACCTGGAAGCACTGGACGGCCGTTTCGTCCTGGTATGGGACTCATCAGCAGTGCGCATCCATGACTCCTGCACCCCGCAGGATTCGAACCCAGGACCTTCGGTATTGTGTGTGAACGCCTAACCTCTGAAACACTGAGCCGGTATCTAACAGTGTTAATGTCTAACTGCTGAGGAGTCCTATACCAGGACGAATCGGCCGTGTTTCAGTGCTTCCAGGTTTCTAATGATGGTCTAACATTGATCGATTCATGGTTTCAAAAATGTGTAACTTAACAATCTTCACAACCCCTGTAATGCATATATATATATATATATATATATATATGACTGTTAAATTAATTCACTCCTAACAAAATTCGACTTCAATCCAACTCATATTCAGTTTCTTGATTTTACAAGTGAGCACACTAGTATCATCATGACAGATTCGAAAAACGTTACACGCCTCCAATTCCTGGATCATGATAACTGTAAGGGACTACAACCAAATAGTCTAGTCTACATTTACCAAGATGACTCAGACGAACAATCAATAAGTGCTTAGACTGATATCATTTCTTGATTTGGCCCGCCCATAGTTTACCTTCAATCTTGAGCGTCAAGCTCAGTGGTCGTTAGTTAAACATTTTTAACAGAAATCTCACTTGGTGAACATATTTGCACGCTCAGATCAGTAGATTTGTCGTTCTTACCTAATTACCCTATTCATAACCACAAGGTCAGTCAGTCATCATGAAAAAACTAACTTATTAAATTCTCAATGACACAATATTGTGCATATAATCAAAACAAACCTTCAAAATTATCAATCATTTCTTTGACATCATTTGATTCAGAACCGTTGGGAATTGAAAGCAATGAACATTGACTGTTTGATTTTGTCTCCTGAACAGCTTCTGTAATATTTTTAGGATTATTTTCCGATTTGACAATCTGTTGTTCTACTTCATTATTATTATCGTCATCATCCTCGTCATCATCATCATCATTAGTGTCTTCTTGTGAACTGACACAATCTGATAAATCAGAAGTATCTGAATTTGATGATAATAAATTCTTTTTAGGACTCGATGATGATGATGCTGTTGAAGCTAATAGGCTAAGTGGACCTGAAGTAATAAAAAGATGACTAAGGAACTAAGTAATAAACTAAGTGATCAGCAAGAAACAATTATTTTCTTACGTATGATCATTACAACCTACCTAATAAATTACTTACTTACTTACTTACTTACGCCTGTTACCCACAATGGAGTATAGGCCGCCTAACAGTTTCCTCCAACCAAATCTGTCTGCCCTGGGCTTCCCTCTCCAGTTCTGTCCAATGTTTGTTCATTCCTCTCATATCTTTCTCTATTTCTCGGAAAAGTAATGTGTTCCTTTGACTTCCTCTTTTCTTTTCGCCTTGAGGGTTCCATGTGATGGCTTGTCTTGTGACGCAGTTAGGTGCTTTTCGTAGTGTGTGTACTATCCACTTTCACCACTTCTTCCTGATTTCCTCATCCACTGGAATCTGGTTTGTTCTCTCCCACAGTAAGTTGTTGCTGATGGTGTCTGGCCAACGAATCCGAAGTATTTTGCGTAGTATCTAATAAATTCACGAGGTTTATGTGACATTCTCGGTGTTGGCAACCACAAATTCCTTCATGAGGGATATAGAGTGAGTGCCGCCTTTTTTTGAGTGAAGGTTTCTAGGCGTTTATACAACCGCAGATAATTTTAATGGATACCTGCTACAGCATAACAATATGCCTGCAGATTCCACAGTGATGATCCACGAGCTTTGAACCGGCAATTCGACCACTATGATAAATTGCGCCAAATTCCTGGATCATTTTGTTTTCCTGAAATTCTAAATAGTCCGATGGATGCGTTACTGAGACGATATGAAGATGCAACGTAGAACTTCGTACTTAAGTATATCAGTTCATGGTGTCATACCACGTCAGCGCACAGAGATGTAACTGTCAATTCAAATCCAATAGTAGTAGACGTAGTAAAGGTATTAGAAGTAATCGGAGAGGTTAGGATTAGAAGATATTATTCAAAAAAGAAGTATGATTCAGTGAGAAAAGTTTAGAAGGTCAAAACTAGAGGTGTTGAAGAATCCAGAAGATTAAGATTTGAGAGAACACAAAGAATAAATGCACCAGCGCCATTGCAAACGGTTTTGAGCCATGTCATTCAGGTTCTCTAATCATCGATTATTATCATCTCGTGGACCCCAACCAGGTAGTCGATCCGATGTCCTTTCCGACAACCACACCAACAGTTAATACAGGAACATGGAACGTTAACACAACGTGAGAGACAGAAACAACTATTCAAGTTGTTGTGGAAATGAAAAACATCCAACCTGGTAATGCTTAGGAATAAGCGAAACCCACTGGACGCAGGACGGACAGAAAAGACTAGCTTCCGGAGAGATACTGTTGTACTCCAGAAAGGAAGAACAGGAAGACAGCAATCAATACCAGCCGAACAAGAGCAGAGAAAGCCAAGGCACAGGCTGAATACGCAGGAGCAAACAAGCTGATAAGCGAAAATGTATGGAAGATCTAGCAACGATAACAGAGAAAGGTGCAAGAGTAGGAAACATGAGACAACTAACTATTCGATGCAACGAAGAAACTTGCTAGAAAATATGGCAAACCAGAATGACTAGTCAAGAACAACGAAAGCAAACCAATTACCAACAATCAAGAACAGAGAAACAAAGAACTTTCAAGAACTCTTAAATAGACCTACTGATGAACCCATTCATCGGCCTTGACCTTAAGTCGGCATTCGACTCTGTTGATCGTGAGTGTCTGTGGCAGTGTCTGCCATTGAAAGTTGTACTACCAAAGAAGTACACTAACCATAGGCAGACTCTCTATATTGCAAAGCAGTTTAAAAAAAAAGTAAGCTAAATCTTATATGTTATATGTATGGATCGCGATCAGTAAAAGTGGCAAACACCTACTCTTATCAATAGTATCTACAAAAAGAAAAATACTTACCATAAATTAATCGACCACTTTTAGTTTCTAATAAAGTTTCATCACCGCTCTCAGATAATTTACGCCATTGATTTCGACCGGATTTACTCAGAAACTCCAAATCAGCATCAGGATCTGTTAACAAAAAAAAAGAGGCATGAAAACAACAACAACATAAGGACAATGAAAATAAGGAAAAACGTTGTATTTTATCATTTCTTATTTTAACACTGACAGACAGACAGATGCAACGTAGAACTTGGTACATAAGTACATCAGTTCATGTCGCCATACGACATCAACACAGAGAAGTAATCGTCAATTCAAATCCAATAGTAGAAGAGGTAGTAAAGGTATTAGAAGTAATCGGAGAGGTTAAGATTAGAAGATACTATTCAAGAAGTATGATTCAGTGAAAAAAGTTTAGAAAGTCAAAACTAGAAGGGGTTGAAGAACTCAGAAGATTAGGATTTGAGAGAACACAGAGAATAAATGCATCGGCGCCATTGCAAACGATTTTGAGCCATGTCATTCAAGGTCTCTAACCATCGATTATTATCATCTCGCGGACCCCAACCAGGTAATCGACAACTACCGATATGGCTCAGTCCACTTGTCAATGACTTCATGGATTTCTGCCATGTTTTGGTCTGGCCGCCCCTAACTTTCTTCGTAGTCTTAGAGATAAGAGAGACATTAGGGGATGTAGGAAGGATTTGATTTCGACCAATTCGGTCTCTCGTGCTGTTATGGGTATGAGGGAGGTTGTCACTTCCCGGCTGCCCACACCGTGGAAGTGTTTCTTGAGAGACCTGGAAAGGAAGATGGATTAGTGTTGGTGCGTGACCGCAGGGCCCAAGGGACAACTGCTTGAGGCCGGTCACTCACGGCCTTTTTATGAAAGGTAGTTAGAGGATTAGCTCCGTTCTTAAAAGCCCTTACCCAGGGAGACGGAAATCCGTTAGGTAGGGGAGGTGTGACATTTTTAGGGTCGACCTTTTCTACTAAACCTTCCTTCTTTTTGAGAAGGCAGCATCGCTGCAGATGCTGTTTGTCCGATTGGAAACACCTTACTGCTGTCACATCCCTCCATCACAGTCAGCAGTACGACTTCGCCCTCAGACCTTGGGTAGCTGCTTTTAGTCTCATCGTTCTCCAATCGACCAGCCTGGCATGGTAGGACCTGCAGGATCATATGTTCCAGCCAGTATAGCTCGGTTGGGTCATCAGGATAGGCAAGCCCGACCACCACGTCAAGGTAGCAGCTTTGGTCGGGTTATTTTAACACTACACAATAGAAGTTGATTTCAATGAACAGACAAACACACAGAATGATGCAGGTTCGCAATGTATCTGAAGCTCTAAGCTAAACACTATTAGTGATAATAATCAACTGGCTTTTCAGATACATATATGTGTGGTGTGTGCTACTTATACGAACGATATAAGTAGTATAAGAAGGGACGTAAAAGAAGAACTCTCACCACGGTCAGAAGAGGAAAACGGAAAGCAAATGGAGTAAAAGCAAGAAGTAAATGGAGTACCAACAGAGGAAGGAAAGGAAGCAACAACAGGAATGGAAGAAGGATGGAGTATTGGAAGTCATGACTCAAAGATGGTGTGTAAATAGAGTGATCAATGTAATGTTTTCGTTTTCGTCTTGTTGGGCAATTCCTCTTCTAATGTCCGGTTTTACCGCAAATATAGCATTTATTATTTCTTCCACCCTTTATTCGTAACGCTGCCACCTCTCGTTGTAATTCTTCTATCTTCTTCACGACATCATCCGCCTGTCTTTCACACGCCACCGAGGCGACTGTTGAGTTCATCAGTTGTCTTGTTACTTTAGCCAGCTCGGTGACATCCATTGGTTGTGCCGCGTTCACCAGTCTCAACTGTTGGGCAACCTCTGCAGGCACACTTTCAATGAATTGCGACTCCTCATCCAAATTCGGCAGACCCCGGCGCAGCAATCTTGTCAACTCCACAGCCAGCACGAGTGGGTCGCCATCCACCGTCAGTCTCGCCTCTGCAGTGCGTCCTGCCTATCCGCCGGGCTGTCGAACTCCACCAGCAGCCTTTCCGTCACCACCTCCCAGTCAGCGTCCTCCACACCATCGTACACCGCTCTCGGCCTGCCTCTTAGTAGAGTCCCCAACACCACCACCTTCGCCTCTGCTCCTTGACTCCTACCAGCTAAGCCACTCCTTCGGACTCCTCCAAGAAGGTCCTTACATCTCCGTCTTCTACCTCCCGAGGCCATGGGATCTTCATCCTGTGTAGAGGCAGCGACACCAATTGAGAAGACTGGGGCAGGCGCGGAAGACTGTATTAAGTAAATTTACACTCTTGGTCAATTAAAAACGACAACATTACATTGAACACTCTATTTGCACACCATCTTTGAGTCGTGACTTCCAACACTCCATCCTTCTTTCATTCCTGTTGTTGCTTCATTTCCTTCTTCTGTTGGTACCCCATTTACTTCTTGCTTTTGCTCTACTTGCTTTCCGTTTTCCTCTTCTGACCGTGAAACTTCTTTCACGTCCCTTCTTATACTACTTATATCGTTCGTATAAGTAGCACACACCACATATATATATATATATATATATATTGCTAAATGCTGTGCTATGACAATCTAAGTATAATTTTCTGTAGAAAAAATAAGTTTAGTTAAACTAAGAAAAATTATTTTGATAATACACAATTCTAACTGATATTCACATATTTTTCTCGAATTTATTCATTAGGAAAAAAAAGAAAAGCTGAAAGCAAGCTCAATAATTGTTGGGGATCTAGCGTCCCCAACACAACTCGCTTGTTAAATGCCTTATTTTGTTTGGATTTCACGTTTGAGAGCATGGGCTGATCAGTTGACCTTGAGATTACATTTCCCACCAGCGAAATCCTTGGCTGTGATTGGCTGCTGTGTATTTTAGTGTGTTATTTTTGTAACTGTCCCACTAAGACGTTTCTATGTTGTATAAATAAACGAGAGTTGTGTGTTTGATTGTATTGTGTGTTTGCTGGGTGTTTGTAGAATATACTTTCTACGCTTACCAAGCCTACTGTTTAAAGCTTGGGATTCAAGGTAGCCTAACTGGACACTGGTTCATTGTCTCGTTCGCGTTTATCGACTAAGGTGAACCCGTAATCGCTTCAAGCGTACACCTAGTGACAAACCCTATAATAATCAACTCACTTCTACTTCATTAAAATCATGTTGAACAGTTTTATTGATTGAAAATAAAACTTTATTATACTCACTAGTTATTAATTTAGAGATGATCATAAAATAGTGTAGTGTAATTTGGTAATTGATTGGTTATTGAGATGCTATGTCAATTAAATCAATGAATGTTCTGTCTGACATTTTAGTCGAAAAAATATAAATGAAACAAAAGATGGATGCAATCAGGTTGAATGTACACACTATCATTAAAATCAAAACTATTATGCTTAGTCAGTCAGTCAGTCAGTTGCAACGTAAGAACTTCGTACGTATGTACATAAGTTCATGTTGCCATACCACACACATTAGCACAGAGAAGCAAATATCAAATCAAATACCATAGTGATAAAGATAGTAGAGATATTAATGGTAATGAAGAAGACTAGGGTTTGAAGATATTATTCAAGAAGTATAATTCAGTGAGATAAGGTTAGAAAGACAAAGGTAAAGGTGCTGACGAATCCAGAAGATTAGGATTTGAGAGAACACAACGAATGGATGCACTTGCGCCATTGCAAACGATTTTGAGCCATATCGTTCAAGGTCTCTAACCACCGGCGGACCAGCGGACCACAACCAGATAGCCTACATCTACCAACATGACTCAGTCCACCGGTCAGTGACTTCATGGATCTGTGCCGTGTGTCGGTTTGGCCAACCGTAGCTTTCTTCCAACCTACTCTTACACAACGAAACATAGCTCGTCGAGGCAGTCGGTGGTTAGCCATACGCAACACATGTCCCAACCACCTCAAACGATGAAGTTTCACCACTTCATCTATTGATCTGACATCCTTACATAGTACTCGTTTACTAACGACAGCTTTGCTCACTTGCTTGTTCCTGGATATACGAGCAATGATTCTAAGACATATATGATTGGATACTAGTAACCTACGAACATCTACTCTTAACGGCCATGTTTCACATCCATATAGTAGAACGGAGCGAACTGCTGCACAGTACACCCGTCCTTTGGTTATCGAACGGATATCTCGCCTACACCATAAATGGCGTAAATTGGCAAAAGCTAATCGAGCTTTATGTATCCGCGCTGAGATTTCGTCAGTCAGTCACCAGGCTATCAGCACTGATAAGACTCCCCAGATAAGTGAAGTGATCAACATGCTCGACTACTTCACTCCCTGTCGCTAAAGTTCAAGTGCCGATGCAACCCAATCTTGAAGCAACTATTATCCTTAATCATGAAACAAATATTAAAAAGAGAAACCATACAATAAAAGCCTGATAAAAACACAAGCTGATTAATTTCAGCCTTATCATGACCATACCATAAACATCAAAAGTTGACAATTCCTTGTGTAATTCTTTCACATGTAAATATGTGATATGTTTACTACGACAAGGTATACTACGCAATCTTGCATCATCCATTGTCATGCCCAAACGACAATCACATGCTTGTGTAGCTAATGGATCTGGAATGATCGGTGAGGTAATTCGATGACTGGAATTAATTGTTGTAGAATAATCAATTGTTGGTGATTCATTGAAATTTTGATTCAATGTAACCGATGATGAAGAGGATGATGCGGGTGGTTTGAAAAAAATGCCCCGATGTATTTTAGGTGACCATAAAAATATCAACTGACAAGATTGTAAGAGAATACGCCATTTATTATGTAAAAGATCACTTATTTCCTACAACGATAATGAAAAGGAAAAGATATGAGAAATGTAAATGATTGTAAAAATGCAATGCATTGAATAAAGCAGTTATGTATATAACAAATTATTGCCCAGCATATATACAGTTCTATACTTAAGCTATATGAAAATTATAAGTTTGCCCGACCGTAGCTGCTACCTTGACGTGGTGGTCGGGCTTGTCTATCGTGATCACCCGACTGAGCTATACTGGCTGGAACATATGTTCCTGAAGGTTCTACCATGCCAGGCAGGTCGATTAGAGAACCATGAGACTAAAAGCAGATGCTTAAGGTCTGAGGGAGAAGTCGTATTGCCGACTGACTGTAGATGGAGGGGTGTGACATCAGTAAGGTGTTTCCCTCGAATAACTAGCATCTGCAGCGATACTGCCTTCTCACAAGGAAGGAAGTGGTTAGAAAAGGTCGACCCTAAAAATGTCACACCTCACCCTACCTCACGGATTTCCGTCTCCGGAGGTAAGGGTGCCCACTAAGGGCCTTCAACAACGGAGCTAATCCTCAAAAAACCTTCCATAAAAAGGCCGTGCGTGACCGGCCTCAAGCAGTTGTCCCTTGTGCCCTGCGGTCACGCTCCCAGGCCTCCAAGACCAACACTAATCTATCTTCCTTTTCAGGTCCCTCAAGAAACAACCTTCCACGGTGTGGGCAGCCGGGAAATGACAACCGCCCTCATAACCGTAACAGCACGAGAGACCGAATTGGTCGAAATCAAATCCTTCCTACACCCACATATATCTTTGCTACTGTGGTAACTTGATAAAATACACTTATGACTTGTCTAGTGTAATGAAATAAAGGTTGATACAGTTCAATGTACACAGAAGAAGACAAGACTAAAGATGAATATTGATTCATGCACCAACCATTGATTTAAAAACTATGTCAAAATTACACTGAATTTCGTAGAGTCGACTTAACTGGAGGTCAATTGGGAAATTTGAATACATTGAATTGGGATCATTAATTAATCAAAAATTTACAATCATTAGATTAGCTAACAATATAGCCAAATGATTGAGTTGTAGATTGGCTTCGTCCTGACAACAGCAAATATCCTAACTGATACATTAAATTAACATTTGATACAGTGAACCCTCTCAGCTCTGTAATACTCTAATTTTACTCGCTTTTATGTGTTGTCGCTGTTAGCTCAAATCTACACCTTTGCCAGTTTGTACTGACGCAGACATTTTGGGAACTCGCAGTCATATAGCTTAACATTTATTGCGGAATTGATACTGAATACAGTCAGTCTTCACTAACCCACCACGGCTGGTGAAATTTTCAAGGCAAATGAACTGATTAATATACTCAACTATAACTAGTTCAGGAGTTGACGCGGACCATTACTGAAAAACGCATATTGAACATGCTTCTTACATTGTTGTTCAGTGATCAATGTCGTCACCGAATAGGACTATACTGTTTACATATTCCAAGTCGATACGTAAGTCACCTAGCTGGAAATCGATCCCTCAAGAGTTAGGGGGGGGGTGTTAATTTTACCAGAACATCTGTGTGACGACGAACTTATATAGAGACAATGAGAAACCCTGCTGAATAACACTTGAAGTTACCAATTCTAGTGACAGTTCGCCATCAACTGTGATTCGACCAAAAGTGCTTGAGTAAATAGTTTTCATAAGATGGATGGTGTGGCGGTGGATATTTGACATAACTCCTAAACTTCGCATACTTCTCGTCCTGATGACCGTTACGAGATAACGCCCAATGGTGAATTTTAATTCGGAAGACGAAAACGAAGCGTTTATGACGTTTATTATCACACCACACCACACCACACCAATCACAAAACCACAGGAATACAAAGTGAAAATGAAATGATAAGCGAATGCCGTGGGACAAAGGAATAGGATCAAAATGTACACATATTTAGATAGGAAAATGAATGAGTCACCGAATTTAAGTGACTAACAATAAAGCCAGTAGAATGAATGTGTGAATAGGTTGTAACCAATGTACCAGAATACATACTCATACAAATGCGACAATAATAAAGGTACGGAGGTATAAACAAGTTGTTGTTGTTGGAATGATGCTGTCTGTTAAATAAGTCAATAAAATGGGCTTAATCAAACTTCAAGAGGAAAAGAAAACTCTCTTCACTCTCAGCCGTAACAAGGCATTCGGAGGAACTGGTCAAGTGAGAGCTTATGGCGAACTGTCGACGGAATTCTCTACTTCAAGTGGTGTCCGTCTAGGATGTCCACTCTCTCCATTCTTGTTTAATTTTATCATAGACATGCTCTTAGAAATAACCTTATCCTCGTCTGAATTTTCAGGAGTAGACTTGTTACCAGGTGGCTCGCTCATTGACTTAGAATATGCCGATGACACATTCCTACTTGGTGAAGACGCTGACAAAGTGTAGAGTCTTCTGATTACCCTAAGCAACAATGCGAGCATGTTCGGGATGCAGTTCTCATCCTCGAAATGCAAAATGTTGCTTCTAGATCGGGTTGCATCTGCACCTGAATTAGTGATAGGGAGTGAAGTAGTCGAACGTGTAGACCGCTTCACTTATCTGAGGAGTCTCATCCGTGCTGATGGCCTGGTGACTGACGAAATCTCAGATCGGATACAGAAGGCTCGATTGGCTTTTGCCAACCTGCGTCGCTTATGGCGTAGGCGAGAGATCCGTTTGCTGACTAAAGGACGAGTGTACTGTGCAGTAGTTCGCTCCGTTCTCCTATATGGATGCGAAACATGGCCAGTGAGAGTAGATGTTCGTAGGTTACTAGTATTCGATCATAGATGTCTGAGAAGCATTGCTCGTATATTGTGGGACAACCGAGTAAGCAATGCTGTCGTTAGGAAACGGGTGCTAGGTAAGGATAGCAGATAAATAGGTGAAGTATTGAAACTTCATCAGTTGAGGTGATTGGGACATGTGCTGCCTATTCCTAACCACCGACTGCCTCGACGAGCTATGTTTTGTGGTGTAGGAGTAGATTGGAAGAAAGTTAGGGGCGGTCAAACCAAAACATGGCAGAAATCCATGAAGTCATTGACAAGTGGACTGAGTCATGTCGGTAGTTATCGACTACCTGGTTGGGGTCCGCGAGACGAAAGTCATCAATGGTTAGATACCTTGAATGACATGGCTCAAAATCGTTCGCAATGGTGTCGGTGCATTTATTCTTTGTGTTCTCTCAAATCTTAATCTTCTGGATTCTTCAACACCTCTAGTTTTTGACTTTCTAAACTTTTCTCACTGAATCATAGTTCTTGAATATCTTTCAATCCTAACCTCTCTGATTACTTCTAATACCTTTACTACCTCTTCTACTATTGGATTTGAATTGACAGTTATAGCTCTGTGCTGATAAGGCAAGGCAACATGAACTGATGTACTTACGTACAAAGTTCTCCGTTGCATCTGACTGACTGACTGATTCAGAGGGACTCACCATACACTTCCTCAGAAGTAAGTCAGTTCTTTGATACTTTCTCTTACTTTGCAAGTGGTGACAATATGTGATATACTAACTACCTCAAGAATTCGACAAGTTCAGTCTTAAAGTGTAGTGATTATAAAGAAATCATATAGTCACTTAAAATATGATTAAGGCAATTATACAATAATAACAATAGTGATTACATTGCGGATAGTTGCTTCGCCATGACGTCGAAGATTAGCACCAGCTGATTTGGTTCCACCAAGACCACGACATTGTGAGTCATAAGATGATTGACATCCACCTTGTTTAGCACGTACTGTGTAACTGTGCAAAGTTTTATGTACAACTTCATTTGTTCTTTGAATGAAGATGAAGAAAAATAATGGTGAACATACCTTAGGGTAAAATAGTACTGATTAATAACACTAATATGGGTTCATTTTAAAAATCAAGGTAACTATAAACCTAACATGCTGTAACGCAGAGATTCTATTTGCTGGTACGTTGTGTCTTATGAAATGAAAAGGATTTACAAATAAATACTGTTTATTCAGTAATTACGCGAGACGAAAGTCACCAACGGTTAGAGACCTTGAACAACGACATGGCTCAAAATCGCTTGCAATGGCACCGGTGCATTTATACTTTGTATTCTCTCAAATCCTAATCTGGATTCGTTAGCACCTCTACCTTTATCTTTCTAATCTTCTCTCACTGAATTATACTTCTTGAATAATATCTTCAAACCCTAGTCTTCTTCATTACCATTAATACCTCTACTATCTTTATCACTATGGGATTTGATTTGACATTTGCGTCTCTGTGCTAATGTGTGTGGTATTGCAACATGAACTTATGTACATACGTACGAAGTTCCACGTTGCAACTGACTGACTGACTGAATTACGCGAACTGTGCTGCTGAGGTTGCTAGTTATGAACGTCAATCCGTTTCATCTGATGATAGCTATTTCAAACGCATAAGATTTCACGGATATTTCGATTACCAATCTACTGCCCAGATGATCAGATCAATTTTTGGACACAGTTTTAGCAAAACATTTGAGATTATATATTCAAAAACTGCTTCATAATTGATGATACCAGAACAAATGTTAAAAAGAAACAGGATTATGGTTTTTTAAGTACGACAGTGAAGTAAAACAATGACGTAGCTAAAACAGTTGACCTCGGAGGATCTCATACAGGTTTTAAGTAATAGAAACTAAGACAGGATAAGTGGAATATAATAAATAGGGGGTATTTTAAATAAGCTAAAGCTGGTGTAGTGTAGAGCACTTTCAGGAACTCCTGAATTGACCAGCTCCACGGAACACACCCAACATCGAACCAGCATCCACGGACCTCCCAATTAATATTGGCGCACCTACGATTGAAGAGATCAGTATGGCCATCAGACAAATCAAGAGCGGCAAAGCAGTGGGACCAGACAACATTTCAGCAGAGGCAATGAAAGCAGATGTAGGAACAACTGCGAAAACATTTCACATCCTCTTCAAGAAGATTTGGGATAAGGAACAAGTATCATCAGATTGGAAAGAAGGATACCTGATCAAAATACCAAAGAAAGGCGATCTCAGCAAGTGTGAGAACTACAGAGGCATCACTCTTCTTTCAATACCAGACAAAGTCTTCAACAGGGTATTGTTAAACAGAATGAAGGACTTCGTAGGATCCAAACTTCGAGCGGAAACTACCAAAGCCATCATCCAGAAGATACACGTGTTTATTAACAGTTGTCTACGCAAAATACTTCGGATTCGTTGGCTAGACACCATCTGCAACAACGAACTGTGGGAGAGAACAAACCAGGTTCCGGTGGGGGAGGAAATCAGGAAGAAGCGGTGGAAGTGGATAGGACACACAATACGAAAAGCACCTAACTGCGTAACCAGACAAGCCCTCACATGGAACCCTCAAGGCAAAAGGAAAAGAGGAAAGCCAAGGAACACATTACGCCGAGAAATAGAGAAAGATATGAGAGGAATGAACAAACATTGGACAGAACTGGAGAGGGAAGCCCAGGACAGAGTTGGTTGGCGAAAACTGGTGGGCGGCCTATGCTGCATTGGGGGTAACAGGTGTAAGTAAGTAAGTAAGTAAGTGTAACCTAGTTTGTCGAGCGAATTTAATTGGTTATTCACTTATTTGACAGACTATACATATAACAAAATCATAACGATTACTCAAAATCGGAACTGGAAACAATACTGCTGTTTCTCTTACGTTTTGTACTGAAAAAGCTTACCAAATGTAGTCCCCTCAAAGCGGATTTCTGTCAGTCAGTCAGTCAGTCAGCTACAACGTAGAACTTCGTATACACGTACATCAGTTCAAGTTACCATACCACATTAGCACAGAGACGCAACTGTCAGTTCAAATCACATAGTAGTAGAGATAATAAAAGTATTATCAGTAATCGGAGAGATTGAGGTTCGATGATACGATTCAAGAAGTAGAATCTAGTGAAATAAACTTAAAAAGATAAAGTGATGGGTAATTACGAAGGTTAGGATTTGAGAGAACACAAAGAATGAATGTACCAGCGCCATTGCAAACGATTTTGAGCCATGCCATTCATTCATTCAGTTAGTCAGTTAGTCAGTTTTTGCCAACTAGAGTCACTTATGGGGTAGGCGAGATATCCGTTTGCTAACCAAAGGATGAGTCTTCTGCGCAGTAGGTCGCTCCATCCTACTCTACGAGTGTGAAACATGGCCAGTAAGAGTTGAGAATATTCGTAAGTTATTAGCATTCGATTATTGATGTCTTCGAAGCATTGCTCGTGTATCCTGCGACAACCGAGTAAGCAATGTAGTTGTTAGGTAACGAGTACTATGTAAGGATGGAAGATCAACAGATGAAGTAGTGAAACTTTACAAGTTGAGGTGGTTGGGACATGTGTTACGAATGCCTAAACGAGCTATGCTTTGCGACGCAGGAGTGGGTTGGAAGAAAGATAGGGGCGGTCAAGCAAAAACACGGTGCAAATCTATGAAGTCATTGACAGGTGGACTGAGTCATGTTGGTAGACGTAGACTACATGGTTGGGGCCAGCGAGATGATAGTAATCGTTGGTCAGAGACATGGCTCAAAATCGTTTGCGATGGCGCAGGTGCATCCACTTTTTTGTTCTCTCAAATCCTAACCTTCTGAATTCCTCATGATCTCTATCTTTCTCTTTCTAAAGTAATCTCACTGAATAATGCTTCTCGAATCATATCTTCGAACCCTAATCTCTCCGATTACTGATAATACTTTTATTACCTCTACTACTATGCGATTTGAACTGACAGTTGCGTCTTTGTGCTAATGTGGTATGGTAACTTGAACTGATGTACGTACGTACGTACGTACGAAGTTCTATGTTGCCACTGAATGACTTAGTCTAATTACCCACTAAATATGGTAACTAATGCGTATCCTACTAGAACTATAAGAAGACAGAGTGCTGAAACGACACATCAAAACCATAAAGTAGAATAAATATAACCGAGGCTTTTTAAGATTATGTCGAACTCTGAATCAAAAACCGACCCCAAAGTAACTTACCCATCAAAAATACCACCAGCGAATTTACCCCCAGAATAAAGAAGAATAGCCCACCTGCGACTTTGTCGAACACGTGAAACGGATGCCAATAACTCATCCATTGTTGATGGCATAGTCTAAGAGTAATAACAAACGATATGAAGCTAAAGCATTATGAAATGATGAACTTCTTTAGTCATCTTATACCAAATGTCTAACCTGATCTACAGTTTTAGTAAAGAAAGAAGTTTCATTCGACTATAATGTAACTGATGAAACGGAATCATACATTACTAACAACAAAATGTCAAACATGCAGTAGCAATTTGCTGATATCTAGATTTTATCTCTAATGAAATCGACAACATGCGGTACTTTGATATTAAACTAACTTTTCTTTTGGTTCAAACCAATCCGTAACACTCAAATGTTTAGGTGTACGTAGGTTTCCATTTAAAATGTTTAGGATCTCTACTTATCCATTAGATAAGTACATTTGAGAGGAAGTGCAACGGTGGTTAGGATATGAATTAAAACGAAAAAAAGATTTATCGCATAACTCTTACGGAAAAATTAAATAAGTTTGGGCTCTCGATAAAGGAAGTGGGTCATCACAAAGCTCATTTATATTCGTCTACATTCCAAGAAACGTACACAGAGTAAATCACAGTACACTAGTGCAAATATATCCAATTTTGTTTACTAGCCGTACTGGTTTCATAACTAATGTATCAACCTCGGAATCACTGAATAATTACCGATTATATATATATATATATATATATATATACCGAATAAAGCTATAATTAATCTAAAAATAGGTTACCTTCCTTGTAAATAGAACACAGCGATTTATTCCAATTATTTCTGAATTATAATTTCTAAAAAATAACATTTGTTTATGTGACGATGCAGTAAGTGACGATGCAGTAACTGTATTAGATGATGTATTGTGATCACAGTCACCAGTGTCAACATGTGGTTCTATAGTTGATGACAATGAACTAATTGGAACCATTTCTGAAACATTTTCTATTTTGCCTTGTTTCAAAGTTTCAAATAAATTTAAATCAACTGGACAATAGCCACGAAGCGATTGATTTATATTATAAATATGCCATTCACTTTTGAAATGTTCCCGCTGGAGTGAAAAAAAAACAATCATTATCATAAGTTTTTGACGGAAGATACCATGTCAACAGCATTATCCATTTTCAACTGACAAAGATTACAATCAAACTTTTGAAGGGATGAAATGTAGTGTTTTGTGAGAGAATTTGTTGTTTTTGTATCTGTTACGCATTAAGTACGATTGTTTCAACTTACCTGTATCTTCAGAAAGATGGTTGTTTAACTTCTCCCCAACTAAAACTAGGCCAGTGAGCTTTTCGACGGCGATTTTTTGGTCGAAAAACTGGTAGCGATCGCACGTACGTCTGCACTGGCGACTGACAAGACCAACATTAGAAGACATTTCGACGTACGCCAGACAATTTTTCTAAAACACAATTAGATGGATAATCGTACTTCAGAAAGAGGACCAATCATTCAAGTGAAAGTGATACAATTTGCCCCTGAAAGTAGTATATTCTTAGCTGTTAGTTATTGAGGCTAATTTCTAGTCGTAAAAGCCGATTGTGCAGTACGTTTCAAATAAAGGAGACAGTTTCAACACACAGGATCAGTGTAAGGGAAGAAATGTTAAGCAACATAGTAAACGGAAGAACCACTCAGAATTGAGAATGAACTGAAACCCCACGTATGAAGAGTAGTAGAAATATCCCTTGATACCATTTAAAACGTTAAAATGATTGAGGAAAATAATTTGTGCCACCAAGTTAAAAACGTTAGTTCGAAACGTATCAAGCGTTCAATACTGTCCCTGCAGACTGGATATAACCACCAAACTACAATACCACTAAATCCAAGCCCTGAACTTTTAGTCCAGGAGCAAGCTCCAACACCTTAGCACTTGAATTTGTGTACGAACAAACCAGTATCTCTTGCCTTTAGCGCTAAATTTACACGTGACTGGACCATTTGGTCATTGTCGTTAATATCAGTTCATAATTTTTTAAACCTATCCCTAAATTTTTCCAGGTTTTTTTCAAGGTTATATAAAACGACTATATGCATACGGATAACTTTTTTATGATATTGTTCTCAATTTACGGGAAAACTAATTTAAAGAAGTGTAACACCATGGTATAATATTCTCAAATCTCTCCTAGTTTATGGTTAGTTTGTATCTTTATATCTGATGTGTGATAGCATTGTAAAAATAACATACAGTACTTCATAAAGCATAGTACACATACTTAATGACTAATTTCCATCCCACTGTAAAGTAACGCAGTATTTGGACAACAACACTAACATCCAATATCCAATATCTTATTCTCTAGCTAGTATAAACTAATAGATTTTTCTGCCCTCGATTGTTGTTCTTCCAATACGATTCCAGGTATCTGGTGATGTAAGTTCAATGGATTTCAGTCTAGCCACTCGACTGCACTAATTACAGTCAGGTATTAGTTACGAATTTCTGTCCAGTGATTTGAGTGAGTGCGTTTGTTTCAGGGTAATAGGGTTTCTGGATACCAGCGGCTATCATGTTATCATGTCGGGGACCAGGTATTTGCAACATGGAGAATAATCACAAGGAAATTCGAATGCAAGTAAAAAAAGAGAAATTTCAAAACTTCGTAAATAATTAAACAAGTTAATTAATTAATTGGCAGTGAAGATTTTGCCAATGTACGAAAGCTTAGGCGTAAAGGAGTTTGGAAGAATAAGTTAATTATTCGAATAAACTACAATAGTAAAAATTAGAAAGCTCCAAGATATGTATTAGGAACAGATGGTCCAATAAGGAGATGATAATCGGTACGTGAATGTGCGTTTAGCAAGTCTCTTCTTCAAGTTATCCACTGAGAGGGTTGTGGTCACCTCGGCTGCAAGGGCATTCCAAGTTGCGACAATTGTTAATGAAAGGAAGTGTGCACGAACCTGTGTGCTCGTTCTTTGATGTGTAATATTTGCGGGTCATCTCGAGGTGAGTGGTGATAATGTTTTGACAAGATGCTCATGTTGGGATGATTTGGAGTACTTATTATGTTTTGAGCCATTATTAAGTCACATCTGATTCCCTTGTAACTCAGAAAGAACAAGCTCAAGTGCTTCAGTCTATCTTCTTAGGGTTTATTCTTCACTCACTTAGTTGCTCGTCTCTGCACTCAATCCGGGTGACAAAGGTCTCCTTCAAAGAAAAGGGGTGCGACGACAATGTGAACTTCCAAGTGCGGGTGTGCGTAATGTTAAAGAGAGTTAGGACCAGTTGTGGGTTGACTAGACCAAGTTATCTTCACATAAATTAAAGAGCTGCGTTAGCATTGGCTACATCCCCTTTGTAGTTTGAGCTGAGCTTCGGGCTTTCTGTGGTTATAAGACCGAGATCGCGCTCTAAGGAGACATTAGGGAGCAGACTTCCACTGAGGACGTAAGTTGTTAGCGTCACATCGGGCCGAGTGTTCATAACGAGACATTTTGACTGATTAATTTTTTACTCGTTGTCCACTACCCATTCTTCAATTGCCGCAAGATCCTTTTGAAGCTCGGTTGAGTCATATTAGCTTTTCATGGACCACCAGATCTTTGCACAGTCTGCCTAGATTAGTTCCAGTGAGTTAATTTTTATAACAGGTCATTAATTAATATCAGGTAGAGGAGTAGACCTATATTGGTCCCCAGTGAAACTTCTGATGTAAAGACTCGTCAGCTCGCATGCACTCTATCGACCTTGGTACGAAACATTCTGCTCTCAAGGTAGTTTCTGAACCATGACAAGACTGTATCATTGAAGCCCATCTTCTTAGCCTTTGTAATCAGGCGTGTTACGTCCAGTTTTTTTCTTTTTGATCCTTTGAAGCACGGTTGTCGATGTATTTGCAATTCACGATTCCAAATATTAAACCAAAGGGAGAACTCCAAAGTAGATACCAAAGTTTATTCCAAATCACAAAATCAACCAAAATATGTTATTACAAATAGACGACCAATGTCGTTCTAACAACAATAATTATAATAATTACAATTACCTTCTATTTTATGGGTTCTTGGAGCAAAAAACTGCAAACGAACAACCAAGAGAAACGGGAGTCCAAAATGGCCGAAAATAATAATTCAAACAAGTTGATAAGTTAAGTAAAACAAATGTACCCAAAAACCGGTGAAATTAATGATAATTATATAAAGGTTTTGATCAGCAAAATGTCTTCGTTCCTCCCGTAACAAGGCGTACGAGATGTTTTGTATCGAAGGCCTTTACGAAGTCAATGAGTACTATATGAAGCTGTATTTTTCCGTCCATCTGTCCCATGGTACGAGAACAGTGGATGCACATGACCTGCCTTTCCGAAACCCTCATGGCAGTTTAGTGGTGATCGGGTCGAGATTGACTATGATCATCAACAGATACTGATAACTATCCAGTCATATTAAATACAAATAAATCGAGGGTAAAGAATATATTTGAAGGAGAAAGTGGGCGATACAATGAGCAGCAAGTTATGAAGGATGGCAGCAACGCGAAAAAAGTTCGCGCGTAAGTAAGTGTTTTTTAGTGCAGTTAAACAAATCGAGTACAATAGAAATGTTTTCGATAATTGCGTTTCCTTCGTAGGAGTGTTCGACTACAGCAGATCTAGCTTTTATCCATGAACTCCCTCATTAGTTCATCAATCAGTGCTTCCATTACCTTCGACAGTATTGGTAGTAATGTGACTGATTTGTAGCAGGCTGGATTTTTCCAGTCTCCTCTTCAACAGATTGGAGAGAGAGTAGCCTGTCTTCAGTCGCCTTGGGGTAGATGTGACTCCAGTGAGTGCCTGAACCGATCACAAACCGGTGGACTGAGGGTTCCTGGACATTGTTTCAAGACAATAAGACGAATATTGTCACATCCTGATGGCTTTTTTGACGCAAGGACTTCGGTTTTATGACTACTAAGTCAGGAATACGTCGGAAATTCCATTTGCCATCAACTGGCAAGATGTTTGAGTACTCTGAATTTGTAAGTACCTGGTTTAACTTATCACTGGAGATGGTGTTAGAAATCGCGGCCATCTCTAGTTTGGTAAGATCTTCGCCATCGGGTAGATATCTGAACTCAGTAGCCGAATAGATGAAATGGTGTCATTTGAGGCGAATGTATGTCATATGTGGTTAGTGTATCCTAAAATCTGAGTTAATATGTTTCTTTCTGGAATCATTAGGAGATATGCGTTCGGAATATGAAGAATGATTAAAGATAACTCGAGTTCAGAGGAGCTTAGAAGAGATCATCTACATTGATTAAGTAAACACTGCGAGTAGACTAAAATGAAAGAATAATAGGTGACGGAGAAAAGCTGGTGGTATTTGATAGTTGTAGTGTTACGCAAGTTACGAGAAAAATCAGGCAGAGTTTGTTCAAACGGAATTTGGATATCCATGAATGTTTATTAAGGCTCTTCTTGAAGCCATCGACCAAGAAGTCTGCTGTCACATTAGCTGAGAGTGCGTTGCAACAAAAGGACGCTCCTGATGAAGATTAGAAGCATACATAGGTGTTAGCTCTTCGACGGGCAGAATTTTAGGACTTACCTCCTAGAGAGTGGTAGTGGAGACACTAGAGGGTGTTTCGTTGAATTAATCGAACTTAATGTAATATGGGTTAACTGTAACATCTACCGACGAGTTACTCAACTTCATTTTTGCATTTATGATGTGGTGGCGGGAATATGTTTAATGCAGTCGACTACAAGAACTTGATACTACTTTAAAAGAGAAAAAAATAAAATTTAGCCCTGAGTTCGAAATAGTTGAAACATTGAAAGAGCTAATAATATGGAAGCAGGGTGTGCGTGAGTTCAAGCGTGCAGAGGAATCCGTGAGACCGAGGGCTTTATTAAGAAGCTTAACAAATTCGTACAGTCCATCTGTCGTCTGTATTTTCGAGGGAAGGCTTTTCCGTATCAGAGCATACTTAGTGAGGAAGACGTTTTCCCAAGTTTTTGATTTATACTTCGAAATTTTGACCGTAGATACTTTATCCTGGAGGCTTAGATAATGACTACTCTACCAAAGAAGTATGTGAGTTTGTGCGGGAGCTTGAAGTAAATGATTATATTGGAGTTAAGCCTACTTTTCCAGAGTGTTTCGGGTTGAGGTTCTTCACATCGAAGAGAGATAGTCAATGTATGAGTTAGTTTTAATTATTTTACGAATGAAATTCCTTTGTATTACTCCAACCTTCAGTATATCAGGTAGGCCTATATTTGAAAAAAAGAATGAATAGTATTCAGCTGTAGGCCTTACGCATTTTTTGCAAAGAATCGTTCTGAATTCTCTGATAAAGAAGTTACGAAAAAGAAAATCCAGCATTTTTCTCATTCGGAAACCTTTGTTGGGATTATATTCAGGGAATTTTAGGCTGTGAGGGCAATGCACTATTAGATCACTTGATGATATGACTTTAGGCTGTACATTCTCGCTGAGAATGAAACTTGCTTCGTCAAATGTGCCCCCAAAACACAGCCAGATACATTTGTCGGCACTGAGTTCTAAGTCCTAACGCTTATCCTAGTTATCTACATTTGTGAGTTCAGAATGGATTGTTTGCGTCAAATTTCCTAAGTCGCAATTGTCAGTTATATAGATCACTTCTAGGTCATTCACGTAGATGTAGGTTTTATCGGTGTTGAAGCAACTGCATATGCTGTTGATATAGATTATGGACCTGAGACACTTCCCTGCACAACACCACCGGTTATTGGTCAAGGTGTATATGCTAATTTTAGTAACTTTGTATCAGTTCGTGAGGAAAGATCTAATTCATCTAAATAGGGGTTCAGTAATCCCGATTCACCGAGGTATTTTAATTAAGAGATTGAGAGGTACCTTATCGAAAGCCTTCTTGATATCAAAATGCAACACGACCACTTGTTGCTTTTGATCGCGTATGCTGCTAACTTCATTGAAGAAATCCATCAGACGTGCAATGCATGACCTAGTTTCAATGAAGCCGTATTTTGAGGGGTTCATAAGACCCAACCTGAGTAACTGATCAGATAATTGATCTTTTATCGATTTCTCCATTACCCGAAGGTTTTAATGGCGGCCTGAATGTTGCTACGGTCAAAGTTGATGGTATTAAGATTATCCTTGTACATGCAGTTAGGAGTAGTATCTGGGGTATGATATAAGTTCGGGTTCAGGGAGAACTATGTACTTAAGAGTTCACGAATAACAGTTTGATCATAATAAATCTCCTTATCATACAGTTTAGAATGAATGTTGTAATCTGTGTTCTTTTATATGAGATTTTTAAGCA